ATCGACTCGATGACGTAATCAATTAATTTGACAGCTAATTAATTTCACTTTTTTTTTTTTTAACTTCACTTAATTAAAGACGACAAAGAAAAATTTCACTTTATTTCTTGCTTATTTTTCTTGTTGTACAACGGAACTGTATTTTTATTTATTTCTTGGATAAAAGAAAGGAACTTTCTTGATCTTTATCAAATTGTTACAGCGTTTTAAAAAAAAAAAAAAATTTGAAACATGATTTTTTCATTTATGAAAAAAAAAATCTACCTTTGCATATAAATCTTTCCATAGCAAGAATGAGTTGGTGTATTGAGTTTTGCTTTGGCCCCATTAAAATGTGAAATTTTTGCTATAAACGAATAAAATAATTTGATGTGAAATAACCCAATAAGAAAGAACGTGTATAAGGAAGAGAAATGATGACTTGCTTTACATTTAAAGGATGAGAGAGAAGATCATAGGAATGGCAAATAAAAGGTCACAAGGTGACAAAACCCACTCTCTGCAGTCTGCAACGTTGCAAAATCACGCCTCTCGGTTTTTTTCCTGCGGTTCGTACTGCAAACGCATTTACTATTTTGTTTTACTTTTGGTATTTGCTGAACACGCAAATTTCAAAAACGTTTCGTAAAAGTTGCCACTTTTCAAAATAAGTGGTGACAATTTTGTTGTATTAGAGATTTTGAAAAAGTTAAAAGACTCTTCAAACTTGAGATAATGACAAAAAAGTTAAAATATAAAGATGGTTTTTATTCAATGAATCATTCATAAGTGTGCCTGACTTTTTGTTTGGAATTGCAGATTTCAATCCGTCCACCATAAAACAATTTCATTCTCATGCCTTAACCTTTCACATACACACAGAAGATCGTTTCACAATGTATGCACAACTTAATGTTGTCGTGATTTTGAAATCATTCTATTTTTAAAAAATACATATTATGTCACACAACCATGTAAATCCCACTCGTTTTTCCATTTTTACTCACTTCTACAGTTCTACTGTTTTAAGTTTTCACGTTAGTTAGAATGACGAAAACTTACCACGATTCACGATTAAACTTAAAAAAAAAACGATACACAGATGAAAAAAATAGAAAGAATTTAACTCTTGGAAAATTTCCTCTAATATTTATACCTTGATAGAACCAATTCCTACAAGTGTATACCCAAAAAGTACATTAGATAAGCTCTAAACTATAGAAGATATATAATTTTTATTTTTTTTTTCTAAAATATATAGAAGATATATTTAATATTTTCATAACATATCAAAAAAGATATATTTGCATATCGTTTTATATACYTATATCACACAATCTATACCATAACCGTATATATGTACATGCTACATCTATGACTATGAATCTAGATGCATTTAATTTTCATGAAGTCTTCCAAATAATATAGGAAAAACTTAAACCGGAATAGTTAATTTTCTATTTTACTTACAAAAAAAAAAATTAAAAAACGTAAATAGAAGGACATTGAAACGAAAACAATATTGCGCGACC